ATCAACTCAGATAAATTGAAATAATTATTTAGAGAATCATAGAATCTAAACTATTCACGTCATTTGCTTTTCATTGACATATCACATCAACTTAGATAAACTGAAATAATTTAGAGAATCGGAGAATCTATACTATTCATGTCATTTGCTTTTCATTGACATATCACATCAATTCAGATAAATTGAAATAATTTAGAGAATTAGATAATCTATATTATTCACATCATTTGCATTTTATTGACATATCACATCAAATCAGAGAAATTGAAATAATTTCCATTCAAATCAGATATGAGTACATTTAATGTAATGTTTTTAAGGTAATGTCGATTACATTTTAATGAACTTAAATCTTGAACTTTTTCTTTTTATTGTCGAGTACATTTTAATGTAATTTTAAGTTAATGCTTCTATTGTAATGTAATGTCAAGTACATTTTAATTAACTTAACTTCTTCTTTTTATTTTAATAATTTTTTTTTTAATTTTTAAAATTTGAAATTTTTCATTTAATTTTTAAAAATAATACTCATTCTAACTTGTCACTTCGGTGTGACGAGTTAGTCCGATTTGAATTTCAAACCTCAACGGCTACGAACTAACGACTATTTCTTTGAATTTCCCCATCACAGAACTCGTCACACTGACATGACGAAAGTAACTTTACTTGAATAAACAAAACATCATCATATATTCAAATATTTTCTAAAATGTTAACATCAAATACCAAATTTAACACAAAAAATTTAATTGTCTCAAACTATTCTTCAAATATCTACCTAAACCAAGCATTTACTAATGATTTTTTTAAAATATTACTTATATTTGCGTAATTCTTGTCGATGTCGAGGACTGGTAGAATAATAATGATGTAGTGTTCGTCGATTTCGTCGTGGTCATCCACCATAATCATCTTATTCTACATTTTGTTCTTCTTGCTTAAGTGTACTAAACATTACTCTACCACTTTGATTTCCACATTCGAGTGAAAATGATGGAGTATTCAATGTATTTGACGCCATCATTGATGTCATCGACTCAAATTGCACACCGAAATCGCCACAAGATTAATCGTATATAAGATGATCCCATGGACCACTTGCTCCCGTTTCTTGTGTCGGAAATTGTTGTGAAATGGCACTTGATCCCACGAACCTCTTACCCACTCCGCTGGACTCTCTATCGATGCTTGATATGGAGCATATCCACCATAACTTGCTTGAGATGGATAATAATTAGTGGAATCATAAGATGAAGATGATGATTTTTTGGCATATTTTGCCTTCATTTCCTCCCATTCGGCCTGATCCCCTAGCGTTGTTAAATATGGTTTCCCATTTGCTTCGTAATTTTTGAGGTAGAGAGAAACTATGAAATCAAAATCTTCGGGTTGAATATCGGAACGATTAGGCAAATATAAATGCCTCTCATGACATTGTTGTATGTATATAGCATGTTTCCTCAGCCAATCTTCCTTATGCTTCATGCACGAATCTACTTTATGGAAATCATCCATGTTATATATGGACATTTCCATCGGTTGGTAAAACCCAAATTGTCATAAAACTCGATCGGTGACATGAATCTCAACAATTGCAAAATGAAGCAATGATGTTACGACACACCATGTCTCCGCTCCTTCAGAAAAATGGTGGTAGACACCGTTATATCTCCGACTCATAATACGACAACCAAATAAACTGTAAAAAATATTATATTTGTGTAATTAAAGAATCAATATTACAAATTTCAATGTTAATTAAAAAATTAATAATATTACCACATGTCTACCGACGATATCGATCCTCATCTGGATATCTACTTTGGTTGCACTCGACAATTTTATCGGTTATTTGGTGTCGCAATCTAAGTAAAAAAAATTAACAACTACATTATTTATTGTCATTTTCAAAATATTTTAATAAATACTATAAAATATCAATACTTTAGATATAGGAATTTACCTTGCTTAGAAAGGAAACTCAATAGGAGCGAATGTGATGTCAAGAAAGGGAGGTGATACCATGCTCATGATTGGATTAAAACTAAACAACCCACTACATTCACTTTTTGTCCTCTAACTAATATGGTTGCCTTGCAAAGTTCACAATACAAAAAAGCCAAAATCGTGAAACCCCAACTATATTGGTGACATACAAGAAAATCCTCCAATATCGAAAGATATTGGGTGTACACCAAATTGTCCGATTTATCCGATACCAAAATCCCTCCAATCAATGTCATAAAATATGCTCGGGCTGCATATTTCACCTATTGCTCCGTTGATTATCCATCTACTCTAAATTCTCTTTCTAACCAATTTATCTGTATCCACATCCTATCAATGACATCGGTTAGAGCTTCCTTCCCCAATAAATCATAATAATTGCATCTCGAGCATAATTATTGCGAAGAACCAATGACATACCATTAACCGGAACACCAAGTTGATAACCTACATCTTCCAATGTTATAGTCACTTCATCACAAGGAAAATGAAACGTATACGTTTCGGGCCTCCAACACTCAATCAACGCCGATATTAGTGCCAACATCACCTTAAACCACGAAGAAATATCGTTGGATATAATCCAGATTGTTGAAGATAAAACACAATCCACTCATGTAGCTCTTCATTCGTCATTCCTCGATGATGAATGCCTCGTTCTTCTTGCTACAATTTGAAAATAAATTAATTAATAAAATTATATTTTTTTCAAAAAGTAAAATAAAAAAATAAATAAAATTTACCGTAGTCAACTCCGTCGAGGAAATATGAAAATCATCAAGATGTAACATTTTTTCTATTGAGCAACAACAAAGTTTTTAATCTCAATAGAATTTTTGTTTTCAAGTAAAAAAGCAAACCAACTCAAACCTATATTTATACTACACTATCCAACGGTTATAAACTGCTAGTTTTTTCAAATTAAAAAATAGTCGTTGGAACTCGTTACGAGTTCCCCTAGATTTTTTTTAAAAATTCGACTGTTGGCCAACGGTCCACCTAACAGACAAAAAATTTCAAAATTCCCCCCTTTGAAGTCGTCACGCCGGAGTGACAACTTCCTTTGCCCATTAAAAATATTATTTTTTAACAATATTTTTTTATTTATTACCAAAAAATAATTTTTTATCGAGACTAATCATGCACGGTAACGAGTTCCCAAAAATATATTAAATATATTTAATCCGCGAAACCTACATCTTAAAAATTATTAAAAAATAATATCTTCTATAAGTCGTCATGCCGACATGACGACTTTTAAATCCAATGTAACAAATGTTGTAGTGTTCAAAATAAAAAGCAAATTGTCCTATTGGATAATTAAACGGCCGGCCAACATTACTGCACTAAATTTGCAATAATTGGGGGCTAAACGTGTAGTTTACCGAATGTTTCAATGCCTTGGTATTTGATATTCGATTATGGACCTAATTTGAGATTAAACCCAATTAAACAAAAACCAGTCAAAGGAAAAAGAAAGTAACTTGCAAAAATACTATATTTTCACCCACCAGTCTGTTTTCACCGATTCAGTATACATTTCGTACTTTTTGTTTCACAAAAGAAGAAATGATCATCCAACTCAGTTGGTAGAGCACAAGGTTCTTAATTTTGAGGTCGTGGGATCGAGTCTCACGGAAGGCATTTCATAATTCGGAGGTCTCTTACGGAAGCTGCTCTTAACCTGGTGTTAGGGGTAACCTACTATCTTACCTCCCCTTATCCCATATATATGGGAAAAAGGACAGCCATTTTTTGTTTCACAAAAGAAAAAACCCAAAAGATCAACCACAATCAAAACAATGAAGATTATCCCTCTAATTCTGATGGGTTGTGGAGGTGTGGGACGCCAACTCCTCCAACACATTATTTCCTGCAGATCCCTTCACTCCAACCTCGTACTTCTTTCTTTCCCTTCTCCTTTTTCATCATTTCAACAACAACAAAAAAATTCCTTCTGGGTCTCTTATTTTTGCATAAAACTTAGCATCAAGTTGTCATTTTTTTCATTGGATGAATTGTTAATAATTTTATTGATGATGACTAATGAGTGATAATTATTGATTTGGATATAAATTTGATTGTCGTCTCTTATGTTGAATGGCAGGGAGTTCATTTACGAGTTGTGGGAGTGTCTGATAGTAAATAATTAGTTATTGCATCAGATATCAAACAAAAAGAGTTGGATGATGACAATTTAACTGAAGTTTGTAGGGTCAAATCTGGTGGTTCTTCTTTGTCAACACTTACCAGCTTTGGTAAATTCTTTTATATCCCCCTTTTTTTGTTTTTCAGACAAATGTTGCCTCTTTGTTGTATTTTAATGATATTACTTATGCTTCGTTCTTGAATATTACATGTAGGTGAGTTTCAAGTATTCTCCAGTCCAGAATCAAGTGCCAAATTGCTAGACATTGCATAAATTCTTGGAGAATCAACAGGTTTGGTTGGTATTCTTTTTTGTTTGACAACCCCCCCCCCCCCGATGTAATCATGTTACTAGCTCAATTTGATGTGAAAATCTTTGTTCATGGCCGCCAATTTTTTTGTGTGTTTTTGTAATTTTCCCACAGTTTTAGCCTTTGTAGATGACATTTTTGCTGCAGAATGTGACCATATATTAGCTTTTTTCGATGTGGATATCTTAGTCCATCGCCACCAAAATTTGTATGTTTTTGTAATTTTTGCCACAGGTTTAGCCCTTGTAGATTGCACAGCCAGTTCGGAAACTATTGGAGTGCTAAAAGGAAGGGTTACACTTGGGTTGCTGCATTGTAATGGCGAACAAAAAGCTCTTACATCCACATTGGTAATAAGCTCTTCTGCACATCTTCATTAGTGAAATTGAAACAGTTAGGATGCTTTCTGTGTTGTCAAATTATAGTTTTTGAATTCTATTGATGTGAATATTTTCAGTGTGAACTTTGAACCATTGATAAAGTAACACACTTTGTTGTAAACAGTAGCCAAGGGGGCATTTCATGATGTTAACATTTTCTCTATAGGTTTGTATGATTTTGATATTGGTACCTTGTTGCTTGTCCAAATTATTATAATGTTTCTTTCCCTTGTTCTGCAGGAGGATTATGACAAGTTGGTTTCACATCCACGACGCATATGGAATGAGTCAACTGTAAGCCAATTTTAAACAATCTCCTTACGATACTTTTTTCTTCATGTACTGGGCATATGCTGCTTGATGTAACTGCATTGCAATGTCTCAAGCCTTTTCTACTAATTTAGGTTTTATTATTTATTTAGGTTGGTGCTGGTCTTCCAGTCATATCATCAATAAATCGCATAATTTCATCTGGAGACCCCATCCATCGTATTGTTGGAAGTTTTAGTGGTATACATTTGTTAATGCACTGAGATGAATTCACAGTATTAGTTTCATTGGTTGACCCTTGGTTTTCTGTAGGGTTAGCAAATATATACATCTTTTAATTTTGGTTTGCCTATTATATATATGAATTTCGTTTTACAGGTACTTTAGGTTACGTAATGAGTGAGGTTGAAGATGGCAAGCTATTGAGCCAAGTAGTTAAATCCGCTAAAAGCTTGGGATACACTGAACCAGGTAACTTACAAAAATAAAATTGCCGTCTTTTCTCTATGTGTAAACACTAATTTTTCATTTTACTTAATTTATTATTATTAAAATTATTATTATTATTATAAATATTATTATTATATTATATATATATATTATTATTAAATAATTATTACAAGCCCAGATCCCGGGAGCCCAAATACAAATCCCAGGCCCAACCAGAACCGGCCCAGACCAAAAGGAAACCCTAAACATTTAGGGTTTCAACTAGGGTTTCTAAACCCTAGCACTTCAGCCGCCGCTGCTTCCAGAAGCTTCTGCCAGGTGCCTCTTCCAGTTGCTGCCGACGCCTCCCAAGCCAGATGGTCCAACCAGCCGATGCCGATGCTACAGTGCCACGCCACGTCCCGTAGAAGCCTCCAGAAGAGCCTGTCATTGCCCCGTGTCAAAGCCTTATGGTGAGTCACCACCATAGTCCGGTGACTCACATAGGGTCGCCCTTTTCGACCGGTCCGAGACAAGAATCGTGGTGGCCTATAAAGCCACCACCTCACCTGCAAAAGAAAAGGAGAGAACCCAGCAGCTGAGAGACAGAGACGAAGAGCAAGAACGAGGACGAACAGACAGGAAGAGAAAGCAACGAGAACAACACAACAACACCACTACAACAACAACCAAGAACACACGAGCAAACAACAAGGTTCCAAATACCAACAACAAGCAACATATTGAAAGCAACTGAGAGTAACGAACGAGGGAAAGAGAGGAAAACTTACTCTGCTCACCGGAATCGCTGTAAAATCGAAGGTAATACATACGGTCTTTTTTAGATCTAGGAAGATTTATAGGGTTTTAGGAAAAAGAGAGGCCATATTCGGCCTTAGAGTAAAAAAAGGGTCATTTGGGGTTATTTTCTCAAATTCTGGCCACCATGTACGGTGGCCGGCGGTGGTGTCGGAGCCGAAGTACGGCTGCCGGCCGGTTTCTGATCTCTCCGGGTGAAGTTTTTAGAGAGAAAAGAGAGAAAAAAAATTTCTCTCTGTTAGAGAGAAAATGAAAAAAATGAGAAATGAGAGAATAATGGCCCTGTGGCCGGTTTAGAGGTATATATAGCCTCACCAAAATGACGTCGTTTTGGTGAGGGTGTTTCTGTAATTTCTCACAGGGGTAAACCCCATCTGTAGTGCTCCAAGTTTGTACACTTTGCAATTTAGTCACTGAAATTGATTTTTAATCATTTCAATTTAGTATTTAAATTTTATTTTAATATATTTTAGCCATTAACTGTATTTATATACATTTAGGGTAAATAATCGATTTAGTCCCTTATTATTTAAATAATATTTATTTTAATCCCGTATAATTATATAGGTTAAATTACATTGTTAATATTTATGTTTTTATAATATTTTGAATTGGAGCTTCTACTTTTAATAATCGATACTTTAATCACCTATTAATAATTAGGGTTAATTACATCATTAGTAGTTATATTTTTATAATAATATAAATAAGGGCTGTAAAATTTTAATTTTTATTATTTTAATATGTTTTAGTCAATATTTAATTGCAATTTAATTTGTATTATTATTCTTTCAGTTCCAATATGTTTAAATGATTACTTTAATTATTATTTTATTATTTTAGTCATATAAATATATATATATATATATATATATATATATATATATATTTGTTTAATTGATAATATTTATTTATTTTTAATATCAAAGAAAAGGACAGTCTTAAAGTAACTAGATGTCCTATTTTGATATTTTAAAAATAAATAAATATCTTACTTATAAAAACAAGAAAATACATATTGTTTTATTTTATTAGAGAAAATTATTATTTTTAATATTTAAATATTAAGAAAGGGCAGTCTTAAAGCAACTGGATATCCATTTTCTGATATTTTTAAATAAATATTTTACTTTTATCAATTATATATATTAATCTAATTTTTATTATTTTTAAATTTTATTAATGTTTATTTATTTATTTTAAGGAAAGAGCTGTCTTAAAACACCTAGAAGCCATTTTCTGATATTTCTAAGTAAATAAGTATCTTGTTTAAAAAATAGATATTAATATATTATATTAATAAATTTAAAATAACATGATTATAAATTAAATATATCTTTGAACTTTTAAATTTTCAATAATAGAGACAATTTATAATTAATAAGTACTAATTTTGGGCGTTGTAGGGGTGCTAATCATTCTCTAAACGTAACTGACCACGAATCCCTTTTTATTTCTAAAAAGAATAAATTTTTGGTTAAATGCAGATCAATTTTATCTTTTAAATTATGTTTTATTCAAAACTATTTTAAAAGATAATTTTTAGGTATTCATCCTACCTGATCCAAAAGACCGATGGCGACTCCTAAAACATTTTTTTCAAAATCATTTTTTATCCATATTATTTTTCCCGCCAAATAAATAATTTCGTACCCGGGTGAAAACCGGTTACAACAGCTTGACGACTCCGCTGGGGATTTGTCAAGCTTTGAAATTAATTATAAATTGTCTCTAGAAATTAAAAATTCATATTTTTAATTTATAATTCTTTCCTTTCAAATTTTTTATACATATTCTTATTATTTTTGTAATATTTTATATATTCTTCTTTATGATTGTTTTTATTTTATTTAAAGGTGTTAAATTTCATTTTTATTTAATTGTTTGTTAGAAGTCTGAATATTTCTCCTCACACACAATACTTGCATTGCATAAGCATAATCTCTATAACTGAGATTTGTCCCTTTTAAGTGGGAGTGAAAGCGACGTCTTCGTGAGAATTTATTCTTCGTGTCAGACCTAGCAAGTAGCTTTCGGGGTTCATATGCTCTATGTCTTCATGAGAATTTATTTTCCGTGTCAGGCATAAAGAAATGTGTCCCCTCGAATTGAACTCGGTCCGTTTAAGTCTGTGATGGACTAGGATTGAGGGTTGGCAATCCAAGGGGGCATCAACAAGGACAGTTCGAGTACCTTTACCCTTAGAACCAAAACCTTGCATATAATGAACCCTAGAAATTCTCCTGATATAAGACAGTACTGAACCTCTATCCGTAAGTGTACACAAAGGAGAAATAAGCTTTAGCTTTTAATTTATTATTTTTCTCTCTGAATAAATGCATGCGAACTAGAAATCATGCGGTTAGGTTAATTTTTCCAAACAAAGCATGGAACTAAAAAGCATTAGGTTAGGATACATTATATACCTTGATAGATAGAATCTTTCTTGGTACTAACCAATTTATTTTTTCCTTCCCATTGTTATTTTTCATAAATTTTGTTTTGCTCTAACTTGTTTATATTGATTTCTTTCGTCTGCATTGCATGATCATGGCATAACCAAAATGTGTTGACTTGAAAGACTGTTCATCAAATTGGAAAGAAATCATAAATGGACAAAAAAATTTATGATCGAACAAAATATGACGCGGTCAAGGAATGGCATCCCGAGGGAACTCCGAAGATAAATGAGAGCTATGCACCTAAAGATCATGTGTCCATTAAGAAGCAAGAGGAGATACAAGAAATAAGAGAGCAGATGTCCAAGATGATGGATAAAATATCTGTTTTGGCCAAAGGAGAAGAGATTCCTGCACAGAAAGAGAGAAAGCTTAATGAAGATAATCCTGCAATTTCAGATATGCAAGAGACATTTGATCCAAACCAATTTGAGAAGTTGCAGACAATCATTATTTGTATTCACAAGTTGTCTGGAGATATTCAGGAAATGGTGACAACTGTAAAAGCTCCCAGAGATGAGAAGAAATCATATAATCTGAAATCGACGAAGTTTAGTCTACTCCCGACGTCTAAAATTCAGGTTCCAAGACAAAAGACGATTCTCATTTTAATGCTATCCCTATATCATATAAAGAGTTGTATGAGAAGCTAATGGAAGCACGAGAAGTGGCTCCGTACTACATAAAACCGTTCCAACCTCCGTATCCGAATTGGTATGGCATCAACGTTTATTGTGAATATCATGCCGGAGCTCAAGGACATACCATCGAGAATTGTCTTGCCTTCAAACGTCAAGTCCAAAGTCTTTTGGATCATGAAACCTTACAATTTATGGTAAATGATCGACCTAGTTTGGTAACCGAAGGTCCTGCTAGATTAATACCAAAAGTCTTCAAAGGTAAGACTATCAGTAGGAGCGCCCAGAGAGAAGAAGATTTGCTGAGGTTGAGGCTCAAATACGTCATTTGAAGATTGAAAACGATAAATTGAGCACCAAAATGGAAACCATACAGGAAGATTTCCAGAAGGTCAGTCAAGCATTTCAAAATACTGGCATAGGAAACACCCCAGAAGAGTGGATAACAGGGGTCACCAAACTGAAAAAGAATTGCAACATAAATGAAGGACGAGCCAAGAAGTTTTCTCATGATTTATGAGTTGCAGAAGAAAGACTCAATACAATTGTCATGGAATCGAGAAAATATCAAGTCGACAATCAAAGGTTGAATAGTGCTATGACCAACATGGAAGCATCATATCAGATTCATCAACTTGAGATCGATACTGAATTAAAAGCCACTATGGCCAATAACAAAACATTGAAGAAATGTTTAGATGATTATGGAGATCTTGTACGAAAAATTCTTGAACATAAAGAATCTCTCACAAGAAAAAATGAACAACATTGTTTACAAACCCGAGAGTTGACACAGAAGATGGAGGAAAAAGTCAATGTCACGAAGGAAATTACCGCTCAAGCAAGCAATGTGGCTCATAAGCTTGTAAACTTAGCTGTCTTCGCGAGAGAATTGAAGAGATGGATAACTCTACACCTGAACATGAGTGGAAGTTAAAATGGCTTTTAAGGGAAATAGAGAAATTAGGAGTAAAAGCCATCCCCTACATGTAAAAGTTTTGTTTAATGCACGGAAACTTTTGTGTTCAATGAAATCTGTTCTAAGATGATCACTCTTGAGTAACACATTTTCATACATGCATTTGCATTTTACATCTTTGCATTTTCATTTTGTATTCATACTTTT